ACATGCACACAATGGAGTATTACACACCAAAAAAAAACAATGACAACCGACTCTCTTCAACACTGCAAGACCTGCACAGAAGTAGAGACCATTATGCTTAACAAACTCAGTCAATCCTAAAGATAGAGATTTAATAACAGCATTAATTTAAGGGGGGAAAAAACAAAGAAAAAGAAATGTGGTTTTTACTCTGAAGACTTAGAGGAGGGGGGCAGGGGGGTGGGGGCGGAACAGCAGGAGGGGAGGGATAGGAAATTAGAGAGGGAGCGAGGGGGCAAAAAAAAAAAGACAGCAACATGGATAGGGGCTTTGAAGGAATATGATTACTGACTTCATTTGCTGAGACGGGCTGTGTTACTATGTACGAGAGGCTTCTCTGAGAGCCGGCAGAACCACAGTCGAGTGAAAGGGAAGGCTCACAGGCTCACAGGCCTGGTCCTGAATATTGGTCTGACTGGCTCAAACAACAAAAGGAGAAAAAGTACAACTGAAACAGACTCAGTCTTCAAGTTCATTTCAAATGTATGAAAGAAAGAAAGAAAAAGACAGTAAGAGCTCGCAGGCTGAGAATGATGAGGGCAGCGAATGTACAAATGTGCCTGACACAATGGATGGAATGGATGGATGGTGATGAGAATTGTAGGAGCCCCCAAGAAAATAATTTTTAAAATTAAAAAAAAAACAAAAAACTCACAGGCATACAACCAGATTGTGGTAAGGGATACGGTTTGACCTCAGACGGCCAGGAATTGACAAGCACTCCACACGCACCAGAGACCTCTCTGCGGGGTGTACCCCCTCCAGGAGTGAGAGCCACAGCACAGACAGACCCGTGCTCGCGCGCGTTCATTACGGCGCATTCACAACAGCAAGGAGAGGGAAGCATCCCCAGCGCACGTCCATCGGAGAACAGACAAGCGCCATGCGCACCACGTGGTGGAATACTACACACCCCTGAAAAATGGTGGCGGCACCAGAAAGCCCCGCACGGCATGGATGCACCTGGAGGGCGTCACACTGAGTGAAGTCAGTCACGTGTGAAGGGACAAACATTGAGTTTCTTTCTTTTTTCTCTCCACCCCCTGACCCTCCTTCCTTCCTTCTCCCCCGCCTCAGGCCCTCGGCTTCTCTTAGCTTTCAGTCTTTTCCTTGGGTGGAAACAAAGAAAACATTTTTTCTTAATTTTTTTCCCCTTTACACGAACAGTGTCGTGAAGTATTTATCTTTATGAGATTGACTGATTTTGTCTTCTGACTTCGCTCATGTCCTGAGGTGTCTGACAGGCACACCATTGTTTTTCAGGGGTGTGTAATATTTCATCATGTGCATGGACCCGAGTTTACTTCCCCATTCC